AAAAAAAAAAAAAGAATGCTTGATCTTCAAAGACCTAAGTGGTACCATAGGTTAGTGCAATGTATTACTAATGGAAACGTTAACAGTTCAGACCCAAGCTGTGGCACCGTGAAAGACTAACTTGGTGAGCTGCTCCCATAGAGATGGCAGTTAAGAAAAGGCAAGCAGTTCAAGTCTGCAGCACATAGGATCCCAAGAGTTAGAATCGACTCGAAGGCTGTGTGTGTGTGTGTGTGTGTATGTGTTCTATTTATTTGCTTTTGTTCTGAATGCACTCCTCATCTCTTCTAACATTAGCCCTGAGACCATTCACATCAAATGAACACCGAAGTATTTGAATTTTCTGCGTCCTTCCTTACCGGGAGGTAGACATAACAGGGCAAAATTCACTCAGTGATCTCAAATGACAAACCTAAAGAGGGACCAAGAGTTCTGGTGCCAAATGTGCTAAGTTTTCCATGTACGAGGACTAAATTGGGCCTGGAGATAGATGATCCTAAGTGTTAATTTTATATTATGAAATTTTTGTTTTGTTTTGTTTTTTCACCACACAGTTCACATGGTTTTGGTTTCCATTGGCCTCTGGTTACCCACACCATATAGGGTGAAGGCACTGTAAATTCTCTTCAATACCTAAAGCCGCCTGGTGTCATCCAAACTCTAATATATAAGGTCAAATGTCAGTGCTTGTGACATAGACAGGCTTTGGCTTCTCAGGATCTATTTTTCACTAGTGAGTATATGTGCTTTGAAGCATATGGCCTTGTTATATGATCCCAGAGCAAAAGAGCAAGGTATTTCAAGCTGGTCACAAATTTATTGACTCTCACAGGCTTGCTTTGTAGTTATTCCAATAAGCTAGATGAGACATTTAAATGCTCCAAGTTATCCAGTCCCCGGGACTCCATTTCATGACTCAGAGTCCAACCAAACAACTGAAGAGTGCTTTTGTGTGACATTGTGACCACAGGGATAAATAATTGCTTAGTAATTCTCTTTGAGGCAGAAAATTCTAAACCTGGAGGAACCATTTCCCCTTAATGGGAGCCAGAAATCCTGTAAGTGCTTGAAATGGCATTCACAAGTCTGAATGGTAAACAGATAAAAACAGGAGCGTACCAGTTGCACAAATGACTTGCTTGTCACAAACTTGTCATTGCAGTAATCTAACATTTCTTTCACCGAGCCCGATGGAAAGTATGGAACAAACAGGCCTGCTGACGTTTTGGCTCTGCCGAGCCTTCTTCCAAGCTAAAGCATCTGCAGCATCTTCCTGTTCTAGACCCTTTATCTGCTGAAGTTAGCTGATACTGTACATGTCAAAGAAATGTTTGACTATTGCATTAACAAGTTTATGACAAGCAAGTTATTCCTGCTGCTGAAATACTGCTGCTTTTAGCGGGCTGCCATCTTGACCTTCATTTTATTATACAGAAAAACCCTAGCAGAGCAATCCAGAGATACCGGTATTGCTGGCCCAGGCCTGCACAGAACTACCTGTCTCACTAATTGGGTGAGGTGGTATGATGAACACTCCAGGCTGTTTTACTAGGATGCGAATGGGATTTCCCAGTAAAAGTTAATATTCTCAACAAATTGCATGGTCCCAAGGATTCCTCTTGCTGGAGCAAAATGGGCTCCATGAAATTTATTCTCTACAAGCACACACACACACACACACAGTGTGTGCTTTATAAAATGTTCAAATCTTGGAAAGTAAATGCAAGTTCTGTACCAGTTTCACAGAAAGCGTCAGCCAATTCTTAGCATTTCAGTAACCTCCTTAGCTTCTTCCTCGTTCTGAATAACATGTGGAGCTCTTGAACCTAGTAAAAGGAGCCCTGGCGGTGCATGGATTAAGTGCTTGGCTGTTTAATAACAGGTCGGCAGTTCAAACCCACCAGCTGCTCCTCAGGGGGAAAAAATATAAGCGTTTGCGTATATAAAGATTACAGCCTTGGAAACCCTCTGGGGCCATTCTACGCTGTCCTAGAGGAGCCCTGTAAGTTAGAATGTACTCAGTGGTAATGAAAATCATTTCATTTAAACCTAGTAAAAGCCAGTCTCTATTAGTCTCACAGAAACCATAGCCAGCCCTCAGACACCTCGAGTTCATCCTCAGCTGCTGCCAGCAGGCAGTGCTCACACACTGCAGCTTTCAGCTCCTCCCTCTAACTGTGGAGCCCGCCTCCTGGGGGACCCACCCTGTAGTATTTTCTGAGTGCACAGTCTGGTGGTGGGTCTCAGTTTTATCGGTATGTACAGCAAGAGCCAGTATTAGCTTTGCTTACTGCTCCCCAAATATTCTGAGACACCTCATCTATTGAAGCCGTAGGCATAAGCGGCACTTGAAACAATGGAGTATTCCACCTTAAGACTTTGGCCTACTCATAAAGCTGAGCGTCTCTTATTTGGCCAGGAGTTAAGGGCCTTGTATTCATTTAAGGCCTTTCAGAAAGGTCTGTTAAGGGTACACTGATAGTGTCTTGACCGGTTTGTTTTTCTTTCTTTTTTATTTTCAATCATTGTATTGGGGGGCTCATGCAACTCACAATCCATACATCCATCCATTGTATAAAGCACATTTGTACGTTCGTTACCCTCATCATTCTCAAAACATTTGCTCTCCACCTAAGCCCCTGGCATCGGCTCCTCATTTTGTCTTGACTGGTTTTCATTATTGACATGAATAACTTGCCTTCCTGGCTGGTGCCCCGGATGCTTTCACTTGAAAAAGTGTTACATAAAAATGATTATCGTTGTTCTAGCCATGAGAACCCAAATTTCTTGCTGGAGTAGTGGTAGGACTGGGCTGCCACTGCAACTTGGCACGTGGACCAAGTCCTCTCCCTGAGATGAAATGTTTTTACCCCCATCCCAAATATCTGGAGCTGTAATCTGAGCCCCCCACCCCCACCCACCTGGTGGAACAGCCACCTCAGAGGACAGGTGGGAAGGGTGTGAGAGGTGGGGCCTGAGTTTCATGGAGTGGAAAATATTGTTTCTGGGAAAGGAAGTGTGAAGGAGCATGTGTATTTTCCACAAAAGAAAACAAGTAAATGAACCATTTGAGTTTTAAATGGCATTCTGCTGACCCTTTCTTTTGGGGCTCTTAATAGGATTTCTGTGACGATTTTATGTGTTCTTCTTTTTAAGAGAGCTTAAATGACAAAGAAATAAATTATGCTGGTTTTGATTCTGAAAAAAAATTAAAATCTTCTTTGTGAAACCCTCTTTTTAAATACGCATTAGGGAATAGACATGGGGCAGGAAAAGCATTTTCTTATTCAGAGGCACAAGTGATTGATGTCGCTATGTAAGTTCTGTTATTTCATTTAATGTTTGTGCATTTGTTTATTTTTAAGGGTGCAACCAAAAAAACAACCCTGAGCTAGAATAATCTTCATTGGGTTCAGAGAATTGTGGTGGAAGGGGCTTGATGAATTGGGCTATGACTTTGTGTCACACGTTCCGTTCCATGACATGGCTACCAAGACTCAAGGAGGTTTAACCACTTGAACAACAATAGTCAACAGAATTGTTAGAGCGAAGCCTAAAACTGAGGTCTGACTTTCAATTCAAGCAATACCCTCTTAGATATTACCCTTACTTTAAAAAAACTTCCCCTTTAAAAAGGCAGTCTTGCTTTAATAATTTATATCATTAAAAACCAAACCCAAACCTGGTGCCATCAAATAGATTCAGACTCATAGCAACTCAATATAGTGTTTGAAGGGCAGAAGATCTGTAGAGGAGCAGACAGCCTCAACTTTCTCCCGTAGAGTGTTTGGTGAGTTTAAACCACCACCCTTGCAGTTGGCAGTGCCACATAGATGGTCTTAAATTCAATAGGGCATTTGCATTGGGTATAAAACTGGGACTATCAACAACAAGGCCAAAATGCATTTGAATGGTTTGGAGTTATTTCTTCTTAATCTATGTTTAGGAGTCTCTAGGTAGTGCAAATGGTTAATGCACTCATGGGAGGCTTGAGCCTAGCCAGAGGTACCATGGAAGAAAGACCTAGAGAGCTATTTCTAAAATAGTAGCCATTATAAGTGGTTACGGAGCCCACTTCTACTCTGACACTCACGCAAGGGGCATCTTAAGTTGAAACAGACTTGGCAAGTGGCCGATTAAGCCCTATTGAATCAGCAGGGTGAAGGACATTTGTTATTTCCATTACTTTTGTCCTCTTACCAGATTTCAGAGAAATATTTTGGTATCTAAAAACATGTTTTTTTAAATGGGCCCAGTCCTTCTTTAATAATAGGAATCCTGGTAGCTTAGTGGTTAAAGCACTTGACTGTTACTCAAAAGGCTGGGAGTTCAAACCCACTAACCACTCCTCAGGACAAACAGAGGCAGCCCCTTTCAGTAAAGAATACAGCCTCAGAAACTCTAAGAGGTAACTCTAGTCAGTCCTACAGGGTATGTACGAGTTGGAAACAATAGCAGTTGGTTTGAATTTTATGTCTTTAGTAAGCATTCATTTCATGTAAGTCATGTTCAGAGATCCTTAGAAATAAGAAATCTTTTATCAGATTAAAGGAAATCTGTTTTTTATTCCCATTTTTAGCCATGTTTGAGTAGGTCGCTATAATTGTTAGTTTCAGCAAAACACCAATTAAGTGAAACTCCGTGTTTTTGTTTGTTTGGGTTCTTTTCCTCTAACATACGGGAGAGATTTTTTTTAATGCGTTTACCTTTTTGCAGCTATGATAATTATATATACTCTATTTTCATTTATGCAAAACTTATTTTTGTGGGTTTTCTTTTTGTTTCGTTTCTCTATTTTTGCATTTTCCAAACATCTGTACCGTGGCTGGTGGCGCGAGTAGCAGTGGCTGGCACTTTTCCTCCACGTTGTGAAAGGAAGAGAATTGGCTGGAATAAAACCTTCCCTTCCATATGGTCGACTTGAAATACAGCATTGAAAAGGTAGCGTCTCTTTTTTCTTTTCTGAAACCAGAGGTGAAACCCACAAGCAAATAGTAATATTCATGCCAAGCAACCTGTTGATTCACATCAGAGAAGTCCTTGGCGCGTCATTCCTCGAAAAACCTAAATGGATGATCTTTGTGCATTTGTAGCATATGTCTATGTCAAAAATATATGCCTCTGGCAACTCACTTAAGAAAACCTAGATTCTATACTTAGTCAATAAATGCTTTGAAAGTTTTGCTTTTGTTCAACAAAATGATCGCTTTGTAAGTGTGTTTGGTTGTGAAATGCTTATTGATTCCTGGAATATTGGGGTCTATTGTCAGAGACAGTAAAAAGAAGTAGATCACACAAGTGCCTTTTCTCTTACTATCTCTCTCTTTTTTTTTTTAACTGTTGTCACTTCTAGTAAGGGAATGCAGTGGTCTGTTTCGTATAAAAATATTTATAGAAAAATATTCTAAACTCAGAGGAGTATAAAGAATAACCTGATAAAATGAGATGCCATAGCCCACAATTAAACACCTGAATAATTTGAAATATTTTCCTGCACACCTGTTTCTATATCTTATTGTGTAGTGATAGATTATAATCAGTAAAAAATAGACATACAAATCAAGTAGACAGCTTGATGCAGTTTTACATAAGTACACATATAAGAATGACCACCCAAATCAAGATACAAAACATTTACAAAACCTCAGAAGAATAGTTCGTGCCTCCTCGCAGATGATAATTGCCAGAGTTTTAACAAAAAAAGTTAAAAGCAAGCAAAACTATTCTGACCTCTCTTAACACGGAGTTAGTGTTATGTAAGCCATATATTATGACATGAATTGTATGCTACTTATAAATTAAAATTTACGGATTGACTTGCATATCACCAGACAATTTACAAGAGCATTTCATAAACATATGTTTAGAGAGATGGAATTGCTAACCTATAAGTAACATACCTTTTCAACTAGGTATTACTAAACATCTCTTCCAAAGTGGTAGTAGCAATTTATCTTCTCACTAGCATTCTATGAGAGTAATAATTTCTTCATTTATTTGATAACATTTGGATTGGTCAGATGTTTAAACTCTGTATCAATCTGATAGGGTTAAATAGTATTTAATTTTAAACTGTATTAATTTATGGTCCCTTAGGATTTCCTGCTCCCCCATCTTTCTATTGGGTTGTTTTGCTGTTCTTCATATTTTGGAGTGGTTTTAATGTTGTAGTTTGGGCTTTTGTTATTATTGTTTTAATATGTTAGAACTGTATACTTTAGGCTACTTTTATTGAAAATATCTTTTCTCGGTTTGTGGTTTCTTTTTCAACTGAACTGTGTCTGTAGTGGATTTTTCTAAAGGCTTCTCATTTTAATGCAGTTAAGTTTATCGATGTTTTCCTTTAAGATTTGTGCTTGTATGCCATTTCAGAAATTCTTCTGTACCCCAAGGTCATAATGAAACCTTCCTCTATTTTCTTAAAGTTTTGCCTTTTACATGGAGGTCTCCAGCCCTCCTGGGATTTCTGTGGGTCTAAGGTACTTTCCACGTGAGGAGCCCCTGTGGGGGACAGTGGTTAGCATCCTTGACTGCTGAACAGTCAGCAGCTTGAACCCACTAGCCACTCGTGGGAGCAGGATATGACCGTCTTCTTTCATAAAGACTGTAGCCTGGGACACCCCATGGGACAGTTCGACTCATGAGTCACCATCAATTCAATGGCAGTGGGTTGGGTTTGGTTTTATTTTAGATATGCTCAATTTTATTCAATTTATTCATTTTGCCATGTGGATAACCAATTTTCCTATCGGCATTTAATGAACCAGTCATTTAACTGCTAATTTACAATGCCGTGATTTCGCCTACATCAACCCTGTTTTTAGGATCTCATACCCCTAACCAAAATGCCTGTGCCTCTGAGTCAGTTCGGACCTATAGCAACGCTATCTAGGTTTTCCAAGAGAGTAAATCTTTATGGGAGCAATCTCACTTGCCCCGCCCCCACCCCTCAGAACAGCAGGAGGGTTTGAAATCCAATTTTGAGGTTAGCCCAACATGTAACCCACAGTGCCATCAGAGCTCCATTCTTACATCCCCGCAAACTGTTATTGATCCTTGTGCTAACACCACAGTTCCTCAACTGCTGTTAAACCCATTGCCATGGGGGAAATTCAAACTCATTGGGATCCTATAGCCCAGAGTAAAACTGCCTGAAGGGCATCCAAGGCTGTGCTCTTTAGAGAAGCGGATGGCTGTGTCTGTCTTCCACCGCACACCTGGTGGGTTTGAACAATCATGCTTTTACCACGATGCCATCAGGTCACCTTTCAGTATCTTAGCTTTATAATGGCCTTGTTATTTAGTTAACAAGTCTCTCTACTTTATTCCTTGTCTGCAACATCGTCTTCCATCTTCCTGGTCCTTTAATTTTTTTATATGAATTTCAGGGTCAGTTGGTGAAGGTTGGCAAAAGGTCTGCTGATTTTGTTTGTAATTAGATCGATCTTGGAGAATAACTTATGGAGAATTGATATTTATATATAATGTTGCCACTTACTGCCTATTAATAGACCATATTCCTCTCTTTATTCAGATCTTCCTTTACTCAGTGGTTCTCAACCTTCCTAATGCCAAGACCCTTTCATACAGTTCCTCATGTTGTGGTGACCCCCCCAACCATCACATTATTTTCATTGCAACTTCATAACTGTAATTTTCCTACTGTTATGAATCGGACGACCCCTGTGAAAGGGTCGCTCAACCCCCAAAGGGGTCGCGACCCACAGGTTGAGAACCGCTGCTTTACATCTTTTAATAAGTTTTATCATTTTCACCATTTAGTTCTTGAACCTTGACTGTTATATTTTTTCTCATATCACTTGCTTTTTGTACTATTATAGATAGAATTTTGTATGTATACATTTTAGCGATTTTTGTGTTATAGAATTTATATACAAATTGGTTATCATTAGTGTATATTTAACAACTTTGCCAAATTCTCATTAGTTCTGATGGCTTGAGTGTAAAATCACTTAAAAATTCTACAAAACTCACTGCCATCTCATCAATTGAAACTCATAACGACCCTGTGGGACAGCATAGAAATGAACAAGTTGTGTGGGTCTGGCACTGTACATGTACTCTATAGTCTTAGCAAATAGCAATACCTGAGTTCTTAAGGGTCCACTTTGTTTCTCCTCATATTACCTTGCAAGATCTCTGTTACGTTGAATGGAAGCAGTAATAGTTCGGAAGATTTTTCTTTTCCTTACTGTAGTGGAAATACTATAGGAGTATGATACTTATGGAGAATTTTCATAGATGAAAATTATTAAAGGTAGTCATCACCATCTACTTCAAATGTACTATGCTTTTTTGTTTTGTTTTTAGAATCAGGACTATAGTTTTATCTACTAAATATTCTACATCAATTATATAATAAAATTTCCCACTGATATATTAAAATGTTATAATACATGTCCTGCTATTAACCATTTGTTACATTTCTAGAATAGACCCACTGTATATTTACACAAGTAATACACATGTTCTAAATTTATTTGCCAACTGCTTCCTCCCTAGGATCTATTTTTATAAATGTCCTTTACCAACTTTTTTAACAATAAAAAGCTGCCATTTTTTAAAACCAAAAAGCTGGCATAGCAGCACTTTCCAAAATACTTCCAAGGTAAAAGATGCCATGGGCAAACAAATATAGAAGACCCTTGTTATTTGTGTAAAAAATATGGTGTGTGTGTGTGTGTGTGTGTGTGTATTCACTGATACATTTAATTTGTTGATATTTTATGGCAGCATGTTGTTATAAGTATCTTTTATTTCCTTTCTTTTTATTGTGGAATTTTGGTATAACAGCGATAAAACTCAATAATCACTATCTTCCAGTTGAGAACTACCCCTGTGGGTTTCCAAGACTGTAACTCTTCACTGTGTAGAAGCCTCATCTGTCTCCCACAGAGCAAGTGGTGGCTTTAAGCTGCTTTGGGTGCCCATCAAGTTGTTGAATGGAATTTCAGTTTTACGTATATGTGTTTAAACATATACAAAAATGGTCATCATTCACCTTTATTGTTACTGTTTCATCATATTTGGATATATCGTTTAGTTATTGCTATGCCCACATGATTGTGGGATTCTGTCCTTCTAAAGGGCTCACTTTTCTGGTTGCTGAATAATATCTTTTAGTAATATTTTAGTGCAGACCTTGGATGATACTCTCATTTTTGGTATGTATAAAAATGTCTCTAGTTTGTCTTGTATCTGAGTTAATAATTTATCTGGGTATTTCAACTCAAAATTTTGAACATATGACTCAATTATATATCTGGCTCTTGTTCTTTGTACAATTGTTACTTAAGAGCAATATGCTATAAATATATTTTTCTTCTCTTTAGATGTAACTTCTCTGTTCCCTCTGAAATTTTTCTGCATCTTTGATGTCTTGTAGTTTTTCTGAAATGTGTCTTTATGTATATTTATCCTTTTATCTGAGAACTCAGATGGAAAATTCATATATATATGTCATATATAGTCATTTCTTTCTTCTGTAATTTCTAGAAGACATATATGTTGGTGTTGTTTAGCCAGTTACCTTAACTCAACTGCTCTTTCATTGATTTTTTAAAAAATTTAAAATTTGGTTTACTTTCTATAAATGTTTCTGAGTAAATTCCTTAGCACTACCTTCCAGTACACTTAATTATCATCTTGAAATTGGCCTAGCTAAAGTTATCCCATCTATAATACTTTTGGGTAAGTTAACATATGTTTTATTTTTAAAATGTTCAATTGCTTCTTTAGCTTATTCGCTTGTTTTGTTTAATGCTGTCTGTTCTTATTTAGTCATTTTTTATATTTTATAGATATAATTCCTTGATCTGTGAATATTCCTAGTTCTTTAAGATCATTGTTAGAAAATCACATTAACTTGGAGTTAATTTTCTGATATTGGTTGTTTTTCCTAACATTAGATGTCGTGCTGT